TTCATCAAAAAAATCTCAAAAAATCATATCTCAGCGCCTTTCATTCCTCCTCTATTCACTCCCGCACTTGCGATTGAAACTCGAGGTGGTAGGTGTGAAATAGATTTAGTGCTGGATCTAAGTTAGAGTCTGGTTCCTTCCCAATACTAGCGGATGGAACTTACACTGCAGCCAGTGCATTGGCAACCAGAGCCGGAGCAGTTACCAGAGCAGCAAGAAGTGCAAGAGCATCCACCGAGCATTTTGAATGTTGATTAGTTGGTTGGAAGTTTGGTTTACAAGATTGTTGTGTAAGAAGCTTGTGTCCGAACTGATGAAGAAAAAGAGTTATTTCGACGGGATACAGAAGGGGTTTATATAGAAATATCTACGGCTTCAACCGAGGGATTCTGATTTACCCAGGCTTTCGAACGTCATGTGCGGGGTGGACCTCACATTCACGTTCGTGTATTGAAACTCCTTTTGATACATGGCTGCATAAGAGTTGCGTTGTACAGACATATTCTCCGGATCTTCATAAAGGCCGGTGTGGGCCACCAACTTGCGTGGGAGGATGAAGGCTGGGTGGGATTTTGGCATCACCCCCGTGTGGAGGAATGGTGTACTAAAACAACCGACGAATGATCAGAAACACTAGCCGGTTTCCTTATAATTGGACCACGAGACGATTGACAATACGTATCTGCATACGAGTTTAGATAACTAGATAGGTAGATAGCATTATCGGTGCCACAAATGTTCAAAAACAGCCCTTCGCTGGTATCAAAACTCTGCACAATGCAGGTGCTACATATTTGATGACCAAGATTTACAAATTACGATCATTTACAGGAACAAATTTCCTAGACAATGATAAACTGAGCACATATATTTTTACCCATTGAAGAAATCTTGGCTCCCGCAAATACTTTGAGATACCCTCACACTGATCAGAGCTTCATCGAGTAGCTTGTTCTCCCGGTTCCCCGCAATAGCTTCCCAGACATGCTAGAAGTAAAGTCTGGCTTCGATCATTTGATTCTCTCATTAGCAAAATATTTAGGACGCACCTTCGTGGGGGAAACAATGGTAGTTCTATTGCTATCCATTTGTGCCGATACGCCGATACGTGAATAACGCGGTGCCTACGCGTAAGAGTATTACATGGACCCGGTGTTTCGGTAAATATTAGGCTGTATGTATGTACCCCATGATCCCGCGTCTTTGGAAACTCGAGCTAAACAACAAACGGATAGCGTTGACTATCGCAGACTTGCGAATTTTATCCATCCAGTGTTTTTTGTTACTGGCGATTCCTGCAAGAGTTGTTGTGCATGATGATATATCTACCTGGACCAATGCCGGTGAGCATGGGCGCGGGTTATTTTCGTTTGGCTGCGAGTCGATGTCACGCGTCTCTCAAAGCCACGGAGCAGCCTCCACACTGGAGGGTCGCATGGGGCGGCCAGTAAATTTTTTTTGACGTTTGCCGAGCTTGACTGCATATGCAGGATAAATGTTGTTCAACTCACATGTAACATCGGCGGTAAACGGAGGTGTGAGAGGCGAAGGCTGTGAAACATGCTATGGTTAACCATACATATCTAGAGTATCAAGCAGGGCCATCTCATGCGTTGATGCGCGCGTGGCTTTTCTGCAATCTATCTACAGATGCTTAGACGTTCATAAGCACACAACTTTGAGTCTTAAAACCGGCAACTATCTTAGATTGCTGTTAAGTTCCTCTTTGGTTAGCCAGTTTCGATATGTTGTTGCGACCGGTGTTGGGAGTCATCATTCTAAGCACAAAGAACTCAAATTATTCCATAGGCCATCAAGTACTTGAAATAGCAGCCTTGTAAGCCCTGTCAATTAATAGTACTAATGTATGTATTTGAATATTATCACGGAAGGACGACGAGTCAACTTCGACGGCTGAACGCACAATCTGGACATATTACCGCCCCACAATGTATGTAGCCGTGGTAGCCGTGTTCGTTGCGATCGGCAGCGCTTAACCATACAGCTTCAATGCCTTGTTTCCACACCCAGCGGAAGTGTTACACCGAGCCAGAAGTCAACCCGATCACTATTGAACAATATTCATGATTTGGGCTGTCTATCCCGTGAGGCTTTGTATCAAGCGAGACCATGACAGCAAACAAGTTGTTTCCAGTGTATCTTCTGTACGCCTCATTTGTTCGATTTAAAACAATTGCAAAGAAACATAGTGCCTTCCTTTTGAATCAGCGAAGTCTCAGATCACAACAAAGATGGGTTCTTACGGTCAATATGCGCAACATCCTTCTCGCGACATGTCGCCCTTACCACTATTCTACATCCGCTGTGGGTCACACCGGATTAGTAAACCTATGCCATTCGCGATGATCCGAGACATTATGCCGAAAATTAGCGATGGACATCCTCCAGACGATGTCGATATTCAGGACGACATTATATCGGTAGCTCGTCACGATACCGCCAAACATTACGGCAGAAGATCAGAGAAATCTCAAATCGATGCATACCGCGATGCAGCCTACGAGCTCATTCAACAGCTATTCACTACCCATCAGGCTATATGTGAAAGCAAACCAACAGACCCTGGAGATATGCCGATGTTCAAATACCTGGAAAAGACTTTCAAAGACGGACACAGTCATGACTATGTGTCCGAAAGCAACCTCAAGATTCTCAAGAAACTTGAATCTGTAATTCGGGTTGCCAACATGTTCGGATCTCAAACTATTTCGAAGATTAGGGCTACCCTAGAGTTCTTCCTGCTCCTTCATGGTCAACGTCTAGCAGAATACCCAAGTTACGTCAAGAATGAGAATCCTGATCTATGCAACAGATGGCTTCAATGCATACAAGATGTCTGTTCGGAACCGGTAAAACGAAAGATGGAGGATCTATTTGCATTCGAAAGTCGAGCCTTGATGCCTTCAAGGGTCTTCTCAGTCTCCTCGTCCACCGATGCCATTATCGGTGGTCCAACTGGTAGATCTAGGGGCCGGAAACCCAGCAACCACACCCACCATGGATCAAGATTTGAATCCGAATTGCCTGACGATTTGAAGTCTTCATGGGACCAAAGTCGAAGTATTTTTGCTGCGGTAAGTCCAAAGGAATTGCAGCAATGGCTGTATTCTGTTGGTTCAGACCGCAATCTTGTACCGCCGACTGCCACTGGGGTAGGGGAACTGCTGGATACACAGGATAACTTTCAGCTTATTGAGATCCGAAAGCTTCAACCTGATTCACCTGCACCTGTAACTGCAACCCACAAAAGGCTGAAGCAAAGAATATCGGAGTTCTTGTGGAGGTCAGAGCCTCAAAGGACTGGGTCTGAGGAGGACAACAGCGGAGCAAAGTTTTGGTTCCCGATGATCCCAGCTGGCCTAAGGATATCACCATGGTCGTGATAATAGCCTCCATCATGTATTGTCAAATTTTCAAGTTTTGAACGCTTTTAATGTCTCCTAAGCATATGTATTCAGCTCGTATTTCCATGTCACACGATAAGTAGTTATCACTGACCATTTGCATTCGCCGGTGAAAGCTTCTGAAGATTAGAGTACTTAATCTGTCTTCGATGTGGCTCTTGGGTCATCTGATAATGGTGATGTTACCAGATGAAATCGAGAGGATAATTGTGAGCTATGATGATTTGTAACTGCAACAACAAATTCGGGACCCGGGCATTAGTCCGACAAAACTCTCAACCTTTTGCTAGGTTAGATTTTCCAATAGGAGTAAGTATTGCGTAAGGTATTGAAGTTGAATAGGGTTTTCGAGAAAACATCTCGGGAATTCTGATGTGCCTTGCAAACCGCCCCAAAGTGCAAGGTTCAAGGCATGACGTGTTGACACCGCGTGGGGCTATGCGTGTCACGAAAGGCTAGCTAGACGAATAAAGCAATATGATTAGAGCTACCCCGCTTTCCCCTTACTGTTAAAGCGTACACGTGCATTAGATTTGCAGGGCTAATGGTAGGACCAATGGTGGGGGTTACATCTTTACAAGGCTCGCGGTAACCCTAAACCTTGCAAATGACTACAGACCGCAGACATCGGTGACAGCATACGTCTCTTGAACATCTTTGACACATCTTGAATTGCGGTCTCGACCGCCTCATCGGGGGTATGTTCGCACGACGTCCCTGCATGCCGAGATAAAGATATGGTCCATCGGTGGATTCACAAGGGTAATTTGGTTCGCCCAGAAAAGCCAGCAACATTAAGTGACTCCGCGCGACAAACGTACGGAACAGGTTTTACCTTAGCTTACGATAACCAATGTCTAATCCAAAGCGAATGGCCGGGAGCGATAACACACTTCAATGAAGTGAGACAAATAGCAGTGGAGAATCTGATTGAATTCGCGTGTCATGAAGCTGAGGATGGGGTGTCGTTAGGGCGGGCAAAATGAAAACCAGTTCTCGGGACAAAAGGCATATGTAGAGTAGAGTTTTGGCCCGCAAAATGATCCATACAGGGGTCGAACCTGTGACCTTGGCGTTGGCAGATATTAGCACCACGCTCTAACCAACTGAGCTAATAGACCGAGTTGAGATGGCTAGCTACATACCCTTTACAGAAGTACAAAACAAAGTTAAATAATAGACATTCCATATCTATGATAGACAAGACGGTTGTCATATAACAGATAAAAAAGTCCTCCATTGGAGACGAACTCAAAAGCTCAAGCGACTACTACATCCAAAGCCCGTGATATGATTAGCTGAATCAGACAATAAGTATTGACATACCGATAGAAGCTATCTTTGATAAACAGTGTGATCAGTGATAGAAACTTCACAGTTATTAATATGGTCTCATCTTGCCGGTTTGAAATATACGTGCGTTTTTAGCGGTTAGATGGACTCCATTGGCACTAGTTACAACCTCGAACCCAACTTTGACAGGTTTTCAAATGATGGAGCTATTTCACCCAAATTCGTGGGCAAATATGTTAATTAAGCATTCACAGAAGCTAATTGTTTTTACTGTTTATATTCGGCCGCATGGCCCAATGGCAAGGCGCTTGACTACGATTGTGTAATCAAGAGATTGCAGGTTCGATTCCTGCTGTGGTCAGTAACGAATATCTTTTTAATATTCAATGATTCATAATTAAATTAATTAATTATGGGATCAACTATGAAGTCTTGTTCAGATCTTCTGAACCTTTTTGATTCAGCCGCTGATGTTCAGTTGACGTGTATTTTGATCACCGCAGCGAAGGCGTCTTTGATAGGCACAGAATAGCTGCCTAGACCTTCGGAACAGCACCCAAATTTTGGCGCCACACTTCGTCAACAAGAGTGGGGTAGATATCTATATTCAGAGTATCGAAAGCTTTCTCTATTTATCTATCTTCCCTTTCACGTCAGATGGATATCGCCCACCGTCTCGTGGTCCAATGATATCGCAACATGCTAGTGGTGCTGATCATTAGTCCGCTCAAAATCGCCCGCCTACGATTACCCCTGTTTAGTCGGCGGTCCACACCGACACCCGCTAACTTCCAGAGTCTAAAGGATCCATGTACGACCTACAGCGCTTGTAGGGTTTCAATCCACGGGACCAAGGCCGCCGAAACCGTATGCATCAAATGACGCTGTTGGAGATATCCGATATCGAACCCCTCACTATTGAAGCTGGAATCTAGAACTCGAAATTCCTATAAAACCCCTCCTCTTCCTCCCTCGAGTACTTCTTTTCTTCATCAGTTCGATCATAAGCTTCTTACAACACTACCTTTCAAACCAACCCCCAACCAACCAACCAACAATCAAAATGCTCGGTGGATGCTCTTGCACTTCTTGCTGCTCCGGATCTTGCTCCGGTGCTTCTTGCTCCTGCTCTGGATGCTCCGTATGTCTTCTCTATCTTTCTCGCACTTCAAAGAACTTCAGACTAACATTTCATAGCACTAAATCTATCTCACAACTGAACCACCTCGGATTTCAATTTCGGCTTCGGAAGGTACAATGAGGTGGAGGAAGTAGGGCTGTGAGATCTGTGATTTATTTGGGACTCTGCGGATGGACAGTTATGGAAGGATGGACTTTTGTACTTTTTGCTTCATAGCCTGAATTTTATGCTCATTCTGCTCAAACATCTTTGTCCATGCTTTCATTTCATAATCGTGAATCATATGTGTCATTTATCATTAAAGCAAAGTTCGAGTCTCCGAGACCAGTTTTTATCATCAATGGTGTCCTTGCACCAGTTCTTCGAGAGCCTCCAAGTCTTCAGCACCATGCTGTTTGTTCTGAGCCATAGTTTCAGGTGGTGCAGAGTCCAAAAATGCTAGATGCGTCTTCCACGGTCTTTCACCAGCCGGTGTACACTCTTCCGCATATTTCCGAATTTCGGCAACATCCTCGTTGGACAACTTCACACTTGCTGCTCCGATGTTTTCCTAGTTGGGTTAGTCAAATCATCATCAATGACTCGAATGTTGGACACACTTCAAGGAGCTCAGCTCTCTTCGTGCCAGGAATCACAAAGAAGTCTTCCCCCTGAGCAAGAATCCATGCCATTGTAAGCTGACCTGGGGTGCATCCCTTTCTCTTCGCCATAGCAGCAATCTTCTCGACAAGTACCATATTCTTCGGGAAATTCTCGTCGGAAAACCGTGGCTTGGTGGGAGTTAGAATGCATCTTCACACCGAATATCCACTGAAGAGACTCACCATCCTATGCCTCAAATCAGCCTCTTCGAAATCCCCACGGCTGCTATACTTTCCAGTAAGCATCCCCCTCCCCAACGGTGAATATGCCACAACCGCAATTCCAAGCTCCCGACAAGCTTCCAAAACACCATTATGTTCAATCTCCAGCGCAAATGGCGAGAACTCCACCTGGCACGCCGCAATAGGATAAACCGCATGTGCTCTTCTTAGAGTCGACGCCGAGCACTCCGACAGTCCAATATGCCTAACCTTTCCCTCCTCCACAAACTCCTTCATAACCTTCACCGTCTCTTCAATTGGAACAGTTTTATCGATCCGGTGGACATAAACCATATCAATATAATCCACACCCAATCGCGACAAAGAATTCTCGATGCGTTCTCTAACATATGCCTTATCTCCCCTAGCACACACTTCTCCGGTCATCTGGTCATGAACGATTCCGAATTTCGTCGCAAGGAAAATCTTAGGTCTCATTTCCGGGGAAGAGTCTGCGAGCCAGCGCCCGATCAGCACCTCGGAGTCGGCGTAGACATCGGCGGTGTCGATGTGGGTGCTGCCGAGTTCGATGCATCGGGTTAACAGCGCCATTCGCTCGGTGTCGGATGGGATACTGCCGTAGGCCATGCTGAGACCCATGGTTCCGTAGCCGATGCTGGCGACAGGTGGGCCATTGCGGCCGAGGGAACGGAGAGGTACGCGAGTCATTGTTTTCGGTGTTGGGTTTTGCGATTCTTTGAGAATTGGTGGTAGCCCTTATTACATAGCACAGAGCGGATCGCGGTAAAGTTTACGCGGGGTCTCTGGTACCGGTTGTGACGTCATGAGTAGATCGCAGGGAAAGAACTACATACGGGGCCCAACGTTTTTGGCGATATGTATCCTACGTTAAACGCATAGATTAAAAGTTATCATCATGTATTATACTGTCAATTGTGGTGATTTCAGAAGATGAGGTTCATTTGCTCGGAGCCGAAGATCAGGCGTCTAAAGCGGTAGAGGTCATGTCGTAGCACTCGCCCAGGACCGATCGTGCACGGTGAATAGCAGTGAGGTTAGAAACCTGGAATGGCGTCATGGCTGTTCATTACATGACCTCAAGAGAGTATTTATGATAGAGGAGATTAGGTGAATAAGCAGCAGGGAAGAAAAGATTTACAGGGAGTTTTTGATGCATGCAAGACAAGCGAAAACTTACAGGATACCGGTCACTGAGGCCGTAATTCGCCGAGTACCACTGCGCTTAACAGATACCACCTTTAAGAGTACATTAACTAAAGAGTAAATGTCAATCATTGCAATCCAAGCGATGTCAGTGACCCTTGGAGAGGAATCTACGAACAATGTGTTTTACCGCGAGTACCATTTAGAGGAATTTTGCAGACTGTGTAGATAGTGAACTTCGTAGGTACATCATCCTTAGACTGCAAAAGGTATCAATAGCGAGAATCTTACTCGCTCCAGCGTACCACCAGAGTTGTTGTAAAAGCCTCATATGGAGCAGCGGCAAGCTCGAGTTGGAGAGGCATCAACGTTTGTTCCTTGTGAGGGCTTCTGAGAGTGCCTTGTGGCACTGAGTAGCCGGGGTGCAACACTATGTCGCTTGGATAATCAAGCTGTCTAGCGAGTTTTGCACTGATCGTCTATCCTCTGGTGATGGGTCCATTTATTTGTAGGTAACCCTTGCTCCCTCGTAGATCTGAGATTGCGGCGTATATTTTGCTTACGGGGAGCCGTCTCGATTCGGTTGCCTTTCAGTGTCGATTCTTTCGTTGCAATAGTAGCGAGTGTGCTGTTTCAGCAAAGATTGACGTATGTAGACGGTGAGCATCATAAAAATAGCACAGCGTGTTGGCGACTCTTTCGCGTAGGTGGACCATGACTCGACGGCGTGCGGCGGGGACGATTTCAACCCGAGTGAGGCGTCATGACAACCACGGTTCCAACTCAACCCCCCCCCCTCCCCCGACCATCGTACCCAGGCATCAGAACGGATGAACAGAAGGAGAAAAACGGGAAACGAAGAAGTGTAACAGAAGGAAGGTGCAGACCTCTGTAAATGCCGAAAACTAAAGAAAAGCTAGAATGAAGGCGACACGATGAGACAGTAGGCGAATGTAAAAAAGGAAGAGAGAAAAGAAAAGAATACCATAGAGAAAGGAGAAAGAAAAGCGAGAAAGAAGAAGTTAGAAAGTAGAATTAGCATACCCCGATCTGGGGTCAAATAATATGACAAAATCAAAAAAATCAAAAAAAAATCGTACCCAGACATTACGCGCAGAATAAAATGTTATCTGGGTTGATGAAGGTTACACGCGACTGACCCCACTATATAACGCATGAATTCCTTCCCCGTACGACATTCCTTCCATTATCCGACATGACTCAGTTCATCCTGCAACTATGCACCGGCTGTGGGATTAATCAGAATTCCGCAAGTAATAACGATTCAGTACGTCTTCAGCCGATAAAACGTCAAGATATGATGAAGTCTTAATGCTAACATGACGAATCGGATAGTCGACGCGTTTGATGATCTGCTTCAACTGAAGCTTAAAGCCAACATGGCTCATCACCGAACTATCGGAAAGGTCGAGCACTGGAGTTGCAACTCTATTATAGTGTGAAATCTCGCGATGACATCATAGATACGAATCACCGCTAACACACTGAACTTGCCGAGTTGGTAAACTAACGGTACCCTTAGGAAACATCCCATTCGGTCTCCAGATTCCTAAATCCGCCAACGGACGACGATGGTCCCATCCGGGGAACCACAAAGCCTGTCTTCCACGATCAATGAAAACATTTGTTATTCTTCGCTCTATTAGACTGGAACCACATCCTACTACCACTCACGTCCCTCTGGTTCTCTGCGTGATGATGAATCCGATAACAAACTCGTCTGCTCTCTCGTCACGTAGCATCAGGAAATCAACCACTTCACTACAACCCGCTTGGGTTCCGGTTTTCTCTTTATCTCTTCTTTATGCCACTGGGCAACTGAAGCGGGAACGGAAACAGCAACAGCAGAACAAGATCGTTGGAATGCCGTCGACATGATCATTACCATTGGCTCAGTGTAGCCTCAGACGATATTTAGTCCAGCCAGCAAGAACTCGACCACCCGTTTCTCCATTGAACTTTTTCGCAATCTTTCGGAGCATTCCTTCTTATCTCTGCTCTTTACCTCCCACCGCTACACCACCATCTTCTCCTTATCAACGCTTACCCCAACACCAACACTGATATGTCGACTACATACTACCTTTCCATTTTATTCGCAACGCCTGTAAGTTCCCCCTAGATCCCAAGAATCTATTCCTCATCCTCCAGGTCGAATCCAATAAACACAGGAACACTAACCTTGTGACAAGATAAGCCAGCCGAGCCCAT